CAGCATATTCCATCAATTTTTCATCCCATAATAGTTTTAGTTTACTTCTAAATGTAGAGTGGAACTACTTGCGTGGTCAATAAAAAGGGGATAACTCATAAAGAACACCTGTATCTTTTATTTGAAAACCTGCAAATAAAAACAAAATATTTTCTGCAAAATTTTATCTAAATTGTTATTAAAGATGTCTGAATCCTCGATATTTGGATAATGAAATGACATCGCCTTTTTTTTAAAATGATTAGTCTGAGTTGACATTCGGAACTGAGGAAAAACTTTGAAAGACAGATCAGAATTTCTGTTGTCATACTTGACCGTATCCTATGTAAAAGGAATTATTTATTTTATAAGTATTTACAATCTCCACCCTTCCATGAATTGACAAGATCATGAGAGAAAATGAAACAAAACTAAATTATGTGTTTTTGTTCCATTCAACCCGAATTCATAGGTTATTCACGTCCTGCAACATAATTATGCAGATTTTTAAACAAAAACACACCCATTTATGACGTCACAGCCTCAGGCACTACGTTACAAAAAATAGAAACATAAGGAAATTCAAAGAAAATGTATTTATTTCAGTCATTCTTACCCAAAAAAACACCGACTGTACAGTATTTTTCAAAAAAGAAAAATAATAATAAAAAATCCTAAATAAATTAAAATTCATTCATTTTCTAAGTACTGTAGACCAATTAAAATATATAGAAGGAAAAAGAAAGATGAAAAGAATCAACTCAAAATTAGACACATTCACTTTATAAAGAGGCATCTTAAGTGTTTGCAATTATTTTTACAAAACATATTTGCAAGTCTTAAAATGGCTTATCTTAGTTTTTGTTTCACCTCATCTTTTTATCATTATTTTGGTGCATTCTATTGATTTATATGAGAAGAAGCACACGGTGAGTGTGATCGGTCGACAGGAGATGCTTCCTCCTCCATGGCACCTCATCCTCCTGATCTCACCTCTGAGGTTTTCATAAGTCTGTGTTTAATTGTTCTACTCCCGATTTGTATTATTTCGATGTACTTTTGAGCTTAATTAGTGTTCGTTATCTCCAAATTCATTATTAAAATTTATCGGTTAATAAACCTCGCTCAACCGTGTCACAATTTCAAGTAAATATTTATCATTTCCATTGCACATTGGAATCTGTAAAACAACTGGAAAGGATAAAACACATTAAAAAGACTTATATAGAAATGATTTGATGTAGCGGTTTCTATAAACGCCAAGAAAACGAGAAAATCCCCTAACCATCGAGTGATGTTAAAACTGATGAGAATAGCAAGATACATTTTTAATCGTTTTTGTTTCCGTCTGCATACATAAATAACATTCAGAAAGAAAATCAGTATTGTTTGATAAAAGATGTGGACAATGTTGGATATACAGTGAAATAATGATAATAAACTGTGCTCTTCTAGAGTAAAATAAACCACAACTGATGCTGCAGTGATACCAAAACAGCTTGCAAGCAAAGAAACATCATTGAAATTAGGATGGTAGTGGGTAACAATGATACTAACTTCCTTTTGCAACGCATAGAAAATTATGAGAATTATCAAAAATGTCACCGATTTCGTTCCCATAAGAAAACATTGCCATATGTGGAATATTCTTTTGAAAGTAGAACTATCAAACAAAAATACACCACCAAAAATGTAAAATGGACCACACAGAAAACACACTGCTGTCAATAAGGATAGTTTTTGTCGCCTTGTAAAGGGAATACTTTCTTGTTCTTCGTACCGATTTAAAAAATCTGATGAATATGACTCGGACAAAGTACTCCTTTCACCTGTTATTGGTATACTTATAACGAGTACCGTAGCTAGCACGCTGAATTCCATAACAAAAGGTATTCTGAATATTTCCGTATATCGAACCAATGTTTCTAAATTATTTTCTTTAACATAGGTGCAGTTATACATATCTTCAATGAAAGTTGAATTATCTGAGCTTGCTTTTTCTGTAACACAATATACAAGCCCTGTAAGCCAAACGGTCAAATTTGTAAAGACCATCGAAGTTATGACAACTCTTATTTTTGTATTGTTTACAAAGGAATGTTTATGGCAATACAAAACGATGAACGACTGTAGGATTGTAAAAAGAACTGAAGCAAATTTCCCGATGTCCCTTACTATTTGGTATTCATCATTCATCGCACATCTCCAGTGAACCTCCCTATGAATAAATCCAAAGACGCATTTAAATGCCCCAAGAATCCATAGAACTCCGATCTTGGTTTTCGTCATTCCGGACAAGGGGACGTTGTGTGTTATCCATTCCTCTCTTCTGCAAAATATAGACAATGCTGTATAGAGAATAATCACAATTCCAATGATCTTGGTCGATGTGTCTATTATATTTGCAATCACAGAAAAAATAGGAGGGAAAAAAATTCCCACCAAAGCTGAGGCAAGTAAGAAGGGGATTAATGGGTTGCCTGTTTTGCGATGTGATCTCTTGGGTAACATTTTAAAATTTGTGGTTTAAGAATTCATCACGATTAAATTTAAGTACAAGAACATTTCCTTATATTCATATCGCACTTAAAATAAACCAAATTAGGGAGATGGTACCGCCCTCAATACCGTTTTAAATAAATTGTGCCTTGAATGTGTCTTCTATACATACATGTTCATTTCTCTTTCACTCCAGGCATTTCTCTATTTATTTTGAAATAGATCAGATGATATAAGCCTTCAATGAAATATATATATATATATATATATATATATATATATATATATATATATATATATATATATATATATATAGAAAGCACAGAGAAATTCACTTTTACGAGGATACTCACTTCCGCCCCCGCCCGGGGTTGAACTCTCGACCTACGGAATCTGTCTCCTAGCAGTGTAGGATATATATATATATAAATATAAATATATATATATATATATATATATATATATATATATATATATATATATATATATATATATATATATATATAAAAATTGAAACCTGTAAAGTATTTCAAACATTGAGTAATACTAAACTATTGAGAATAGCAATAGTATTTTCAAACCTGTTAGCCATTTCGGATATCGTCTCCAAATCTTAGTGGGTTTTAGAAATAAATCGGTACTGTTTGATAAATGATATGAATAACGTTAAATACATTGTGAAATATAACTGAGTATTTCTTCTCTCGTGGAATGAGAAAGCTAACAATTCCTATTGCGGTGATGGCTGAGCAATTTGCAATTAGAGCAGCATCTTTAAAATCTAGTTGATATCCTGAAGGAAGAATTACAATACGCAGAAAATAGCGACATCTTTTTTGTTCTTATCAGACTCTACAACCATACAGGAAATATGCTTTTAAAAATGGAAATATTAAATAAAAATTCGCCTGCAAAAAATGTTAAATGGACCATTTAAAATATCTGCTATTCCAAATGACATTTTTTGTTGTCTTGTGAAGGAGGTACCTCTCTCCAACTGAAATTCTCTGACGTGACGTCGATTGAAATCTGACGAAAACAACAGAAAGTCAGCCTTTCACTATAGTTATTGATGTACTTATTACGAGAACCGTAGCTACACGTAGCACACTGTATTCCATTACAAAAGGTAGTCTGAACATTTCGGTATACGAAGGTCATTCAATAAGTAATGCAATATACAGTATATTATAATAAATGATGAGAAATTTAAATCTTTTTCTTTCACAGTGGAAAATTTTATTAAAGAGAGTCTAAACACAGATGAATTTCCCTATTGAACTAATAATTTTTTCTCACAAAGAAAATCACTTTTAAAGGAAGCATGGTCATTACACTGAGTAGAAAACATTTTATAAATTATATCTGCCAAGGAGGAGGTACTTACGGAATAACTGTCTTCTTAGTATAGTATGCCAGGGCATCAACAACAGTGGGAAACATGGAATAATTTGTTTCGATCAATATCTGAAAATCAATGTATTATTTCAGTCGATTAAACTTTAAGCAATAAACTCTATTGAACAGAAGAGGTTCCCTTCAATTATGTTAAAAAATCTTGATACAATTCAAAATATGTGTATAAATAAGAAAGTAAATTTTCATATGCCGATAAGTCGATAAAATATAAGACAATATGAAAAGGTATAACACAACAAGTGTAGAGCCATTTACGCTTCCGTACTTTCAGGCGTCTTATTTTATACATTCTCAAGAGAACTTAAAATAAAATTCTTAAGATTAAAATCTCAGAAAATTGAGAAAATAAGGTAAATTTGTCAATTGTGTCCAACCACATGGGTGAAAATTGGATGTGAAATTTTCATTTGTCTCTGTTAAATTCACTGTCTCTGTTAGAATATGACATCGCATTTTGTGGTTGCGCCACGGGGTCATTCCATTACTTACGAAAACATTGACAATTAATTCAAAGTATAAAAACTTTTTTGCTGTATTCCTTAAATTGTTTTGATTGATGGCGCTAGTCCACGAACTTTTCAACAATAACCCCGATACATAAACATTGGAGAAAATTAAGAAAAGTAGACCCCTCCTCCTCGATCAATTTGTAATGAACAATATCCATTTACATGCTTACTTAAAAGCATCATATGGCAAAAATTTAATTAGATGATCCTTAAAAAGATGTCTTTGACAAAAGGGTGATAAGATAGAATCAATTTTCAAAGTTGTACATTTGGCATTTAGGGAACAAGAGAAAATTGTAATTTCTGTTCAAAAGTACAATTGTACAATAACGGTTTAATTTTGAATAGGATTGGCCAAAATCATATAAAATAATTGAGAGCTAATGTCGGCCTTTCAATGCTGAAACCATTGTTTAAAAAGGTTGACTCAGAGATCTACATTTTTTTGTATAAAATAAAAAGTTGGTGTGGCATTCCTCCTTAATACAATGCATCTAGATGATGATTTTTTTCCCAATTACAACTCAATATGAATAAAAACCTGTGATTTCCTCTAAACTTTGGATTTAATTTAAAAAACACAAAAAGTCAGACATCAAAATAAAATCATTTACTTGATTAATTAATTGTAATGCTTGGACATAAAATGGAGATCTACCAACTACTATACACGGACAAGGACAATATATATATTTACAAAAAAAATTGTAAAATTAATCGCTTCTTGATCAATGACATAGTACTTTCAATCTCTTGATGTATTTACCAGCACATATGAAGAATATATTATCAAAAACATGTTTTATCACTTAATGAAGTATTCTGTTAAATGCCATTATATAGCAGCATTCATTTAATTTCATATTCAAATGAGGTAATTCATAGTATTAAAAATTAAGTATGCAAAGAGTACAATTTGGTTCTCACAATATAAATCTATTAATATCTCAGCACCATGATAGAAAATTATGTTTTAAATTTCTTATTTCTTTCCAATCACAAAAATAATAATAAACAAACATTGTACAAATAAAAACTGTGTAAAAGTGATTCAAAGCAGTGAACAAACTTGATTACAATGAATCTGAAGTGAACAAACATTATGGGGTAACATGATGTTTTTAACAATTGGGTCATAATGCCATGTTTTTAAAAACAATATTTGGAATCATTTTTATACAAACATACACATGGAGAAATCTCGTCATAAAAGGGATCAAGCCTTTTTCGAAGCTTCCTAGTACAAAAGAACAATTTGGAGAAATCTCTAAAGGCAGTCTCAGTACCAAATGGAAATTAAAATTAAATTTTAAAAATGACTAACTTTTTACTTTTGACTTTTTACTAATCAGAGATTAAGTAAGGCCAAAACATCATATACACTTCATAACAGAGGAAATAATTCATTATTATGACTGTAATCATTCACTTATGATGAAAGCCCTTTTGTGCATGGAAAACCCAACAATAACCTGACAATATGTCAGATCAATAGGTATTCAGCAATTCAGCAAAAAAAAACATTTATAAAAGAAACTGATTATTGAAGTAAACATAAATACTTATGACTAAAGAATTTAAACAATGCTTTACAAAATTGCTTTTCATATATGAAAAAGTGTAAAATATATTCTATCAAATACTTAAAAATATACACACTATGTCAGCTAATTCATACTAAAGATTTGAAATTAAAACTTTCCTCTTTTAAAACACAATCAATCTCTGGTACAATATTTTTTCCCTTTATCACTTTGGTCAGCCACTCTGAACAGATCTGTTGAATAATGAATGGCCATCTTCAGCTCCATACATCACAAGAGTAGCGTCCCTTGTTCTGCATCTGTTTCACATAATTGGTTGCCTTTTCTTTATCCATATTGCCACATTCCATGATAATTTTCTCTAATGTTTCATGTACATCTCTTGCCATGTTACGAGCATCACTAAAATTAAAAAGCACAATAATTCATCTGACATTTGTAGCAAAGAACATTAATGAAAAATTATTTGAATTCTTTATTTCTAAATTCACATGCACTTCAAAAATTAAGAAACTTTCAAATTACATGCATGCAATTTTATTCCTAACTTGGAAATTACTCTCTACAAACATTAATAAATTTATGAATAATGAAAAAATTAGGAACAAAAATTTTCAATTTTTATCTGTATCTTGCTTAGCAATTCCAATCAAATGAACCACTTAATAATAATAACTTTAATATTTGATTAGTAAATGACATGAATCTAAAGATTTTAAAGCAATTCATGTAAATCAAATGCTGCTTACCCACACACATATATATGCCCTCCCTTCTCTAACATCTTCCAGGTTTCCTCCATGTTCTGCCTGAGGAGATGTTGTACGTACACCTTGTCCGGTCCATCGCGGGAGAAGGCCAGGTGGACCTTAGTCAGGGTGCCGTCCTTAGTGTATTCCTCCAGTTCCTCCTCGTATAAATAATCCTCCGTCTTACGACGACAACCAAAGTACAACACAGTGTCTCCCACAGGCTTACCTGCAACAATATACATCTATCCTCACAAAACTTGTTCAAACATGCCTTTTGCAAGTAGTAATCTAGAATTTCTTGAAAGTCAGTACAACAGTTTATTTTTTTAAAAGGGAGTATAATGTTTCACTTCATAGCTACTTGTGTAGGATTCAAGAGCTTTTTTTTTTAAATTAGTTTCAATTTTTGTTTAACAATTTTAGATATATTTGAGATTAAATGTACATGTACCTAAAACCCTTAAAAAGATATTACTGTGTAATAAAATTAGCAATAGACTTTTCATAGAACAAGAGGCCCATGGGCCTTATAGGTCACCTGAGCATTATGCAACAACTTTCCAGTGATTAAATTTGATTCATGTTTTAATCCAGATGCTATGGCATTCACAATTTTGAAAGAGGCCCCATTGATCATCATAACAATACACTTAGCAGTTGCTTAGTTTGTTTACTTAATACCCATAGGCAGGGTAGGGGAACAAAAAATGCATTTCAAGTAATATTCAGCATGATCAGTAATGCCCCATTCACACATGAACCCCTGACCCTTAGGCCTAGATCCACACATTGCACCCTTGCTTTTCAAAAATTTTTCAAATTGATTAATACCAAGGAGCATATTTCGAACAATTCATCCAGTTTCAGTATATAAGTACAGCCCCCCCCCCCTTTATGGTACCCCTGACCCTGGGGCCTTGAAATTCACAATTCTGGAAGATTAGTACCCTTGCTCATCACAACTATATAGGTAGTTCATCTGCTTAATACCAAGGAGCAGAGAAGAAAACTTTCAAAGATTCAATGTATTTTCACTAAAAAATCAATAGAGCCCCGCCCTATCACTAGAACCCCTGACCCTAGGGCCATAAAATTCACAATTTTGGAAGAGGTAATCTTGCTCATCATAACTATGTAATTAGTTTATTTCATTCCTAGGAGCAGAGAAGAAGATTTTCAAAGAATTCATGTAATTTCACTATATAATCTATAGAGCCCCGCCCTTACACCCGAACCCTCCTGACCCTAGGGCCATAAAATTCACAATTTTGGTAGAGGTACTCTTGCTCATCATAACTATGCATTTAGTTAGTTATTTAATATCCAGGAGCAGAGAAGAAGATTTTCAAAGAATTCATGAATTTTCACTATGTAATCTATAGAGCCCCCCCCTTACACCAGACCCCTGACCCTGGGGCCATGAAATTCACAATTTTGGTAGAGGCACTCTTGCTCATCATAACTATGCACTTAGTTAGTTTATTTAATACCCAGGAGCAGAGAAGAAGATTTTCAAAGAATTCATGTAATTTCACTATATTATCTATAGACCCCCCCCCCTACACCAGAACCCCTGACCCTGGGGCCATAAAATTCACAATTTTGGTAGAGGTACTCTTGCTCATCATAACTATGCATTTAGTTAGTTATTTAATATCCAGGAGCAGAGAAGAAGATTTTCAAAGAATTCATGAATTTTCACTATATAATCTATCGAGCCCCCCCCCCCCCTTACACCAGAACCCCTGACCCCGGGGCCATAAAATTCACAATTTTGGTAGAGGCACTCTTGCTCATCATAACTATGCACTTAGTTAGTTTATTTAATATCCAGGAGCAGAGAAGAAGATTTTTAAAGAATTCATGAATTTTCACTATATAATCTATAGAGCCCCACCCCTACACCAGAATCCCTGACCCTGGGGCCATGAAATTCACAATTTTGGTAGAGGTACTCTTGCTCATCATAACTATGCATTTAGTTAGTTTATTTAATATCCAGGAGCAGAGAAGAAGATTTTTAAAGAATTCATGAATTTTCACTATATAATCTATAGAGCCCCACCCTTACACCAGAACCCCTGACCCTGGGGCCATAAAATTCACAATTTTGGTAGAGGCACTCTTGCTCATCATAACTATGTACTTAGTAGGTTTATTTAATACCCAGGAGCAGAGAAGAAGATTTTCAAAGAAATAATGCATTTTCACTATATACTTATTTGGCCCCGCCCTAGCACTAGAACCCATGACCCCGGGGCCATGAATTTCACAATTTTGGTAGAGGACTCAATGCTGATTACAATCATGCAAACAGTTTGACTGCTTGATGTCCAGGAGTAAAGAAGAAGATTTTTAAAGATTGCACTAATTTTAGTGGTTTTTGCCCCACCCCCCAGGCCCCAGGGGGGCAGGGACCATGAAATTCACAATTTTTGTTCCCCTTTACCCATAGATGCTATATGCCAAATTTGGTTGAAATTGATTCAGTGGTTTCAGAGAAGAAGCTGAAAATGTTCAAATGTTAACGCACGACGAACGACGAACGACGGACGACGAACGACGACGGACGAAAAGTGATAGCAATAGGTCACCTGAGTTTACTCAGGTGACCTAAAAATACTCTTAATGATAAGGCATAATCTAAAGTAATGTATTGGTACATGAAAATACTGTAAAAGTACTTTTTTCCGCGTGGTATTAATTTACGCAATGTACGCGGTCACAAATTTTCTGCGGAAATTTGTCCAATCATACTTAATACAAATGTAAGGCATATAGTGACAGTCTAAGAAATCGGCGTAATTTTCTACCCGCAGATTAAACAGAAATTGAGATTCCGCGGAATTATGACCCAGTGGAAAAAAGTACGTCTACAGTAACTGAATGCAGTAATTCATATTTACCCTCTTTCCTTAGGAAATTCCTTTCTTGAATAAATCCTCTAAAGGGAGCTAACCCTGTGCCGGGTCCGATCATTATGACTGGTGTGTTGGCCTTGAAAGGAAGACGGAACTGAGATTTCCTGACGTAGATGGGAACAGTAGGTTTAATGCCATTGGTCGGTCTCTTTAGGGTCAGCCAGTTGGTAGCAACTCCTTTCATCGTCCTATTTGTCTTGGTTTTATATTTGACTACAACCGCTGTTATATGTATACTAGTAGAATTGACCTGTAGTGATGAAATTTATAATCAAATAAAGGATAAAAATACTGAAAGGAACTTAGACCTCAATTAATATTTGTTTATTAAATGCCACACACTATATTAATTGGTGTATGGTGTAATTAACAAAAATTTAATTTTTCATGAAAAATAATGAATGAAAAGTAATTTTGGAGCATCTGTAACATTAAAGATCAGAAATTTAGTTGTCCATACAAACCTTAGGAGATGAAGAAATGGAATAGTATCTAGCCTGTAACCTAGGTAACAGTTCACAGAGATGGTCGATAGGAGGTTTGACAGAAGGTAGGTCCTCTAGTATAGCTGTGATGTTTCTCCTGTCCTTAACCACCCAATCACTGTACAATGTCTGTAATAACAAAAGATACCATAAATCATGATCAAAATTTCTCAATCATTTATAATGTATCCTAAGATTAATTATTCCATTTCAGAGCAAGCCCAAGGTAGTAGGAGGCCATCCATTACACACTACCCAAGGTAGAGCACTTCTTTAGATCTCTCTATAAGAGAGGAGGATATCTCTTTCATAGCTTCCTACTACCGCTAGCTTGTGCTAATGTGTTCAGCCTTTAGCTTGATTGGCATGCCAGAGGTCTCGGGTCAAATTCAAACAAATGCATAAACCTCTCACTATACTCTTACTGTCCATGCAGTATAGCTCAAAAATTCACTTACATCAAAAAGAATATATGTTTGCCTTAAATTTGATATGTATTTTGCCTTAAGTGCATACTAAAGTAAGCACAATATAATTTTAACTTCTGAGTGTGTACCTTGCCCTCTGGTGTAGAAGATGTCAGTTTTAACAGGAAATCTTTATCTTTCTGGTCCTGTGCGTATTCTGCCAGTTCCCGTAGAATGTGTGTCCTTGGTGTCCCTGTGATATCGAGGTAGTGGGAGAGAGCAGTGCGGTAGGTGGTGGGGCACGGGAAGGGGTATTTCTTACTGGCCTCCTCTGTAATAATATTATTTATAGGTAATAAAAGTAAGTCAAATATAACAGAGTTATGAATTGTGGTCTAATACACTAGGGTTATAAATTACATTCAAATTCTATACATGTAATTTGTTATAATTGATTGCATATTTCATGTTCTTTGTTGTAGTACTGGTACTTGAAAAGAAAATGGTCCTGTAAGCTTACAATTCAGCATGTGTTTACTCATATAACTCTTTTGAGGCAAGAAATGGCACAGAATGAACAAAATATCAATTAACTTGTGAACAAATTCATTTTCCTCTAAAAACGCAGGTATGATTTACTCTTACTAGAAACATGAGAGAACAAATTTATCCCCTGAAGACAACAGGCTCATGGGCCATATCGCTCACCCGAGCATTGTGGCTATGAAAAAGTAGAAATTGGTTTACGATTGAAAAGTTTAAATCCAAAAGTTTAGCCCCGCCCTACCCCCGGTGGTCATGATTTGAACAAACTTGAATCTACACTACCTGGGGATGCTTCTGTATAAATATGAGCAATTATGGCTTTGTCATTCTTGAGAAGAAGATTTTTAAAGAATTTTCCTATATATTTCTATGTAAAACTTTGGTCGGCCATTTTGGCCCTGCCCTACCCCCAGGGGTCATGATTTGAACAAACTTGAATCTACACTACCTGAGCATGCTTCCATATAAATATGATGAATTATGGCTTTGTCATTCTTGAGAAGAAGATTTTTAAAGAATTTTCCTATATATTTCTATGTAAAACTTTGGTCGGCCATTGTGGCCCCGCCCTACCCCCAGGGGTCATGATTTAAACAAATTTAAATCTACACTACCTGAGCATGCTTCCATATAAATATGATGAATTATGGCTTTGTCATTCTTGAGAAGAAGATTTTTAAAGAATTTTCCTATATATTTCTATGTAAAACTTTGGTCAGCCATTTTGGCCCCGCCCTACCCCCGGGGGTCATGATTTGAAAAAATTTGAATCTATACTACCTGAGCATGCTTCCATATAAATATGATCAATTATGGCTTTGTCATTCTTGAGAAGAAGATTTTTAAAGAATTTTCCTATATATTTCTATGTAAAACTTTGGTCGGCCATTTTGGCCCCGCCCTACCCCCGGGGGTCATGATTTGAACAAACTTGAATCTACACTACCTGAGGATGTTTCTCCATAAGTTTCATCTTTCCTGGCACGGTGGTTCTTGAGAAGAAGATTTTTAAAATATACCACCAAATTTTCATTTATTCCCAATTATCTCCCCTTGAATGAGGGCATGGCCCTTCATTTGAACAAACTTGAATCTCCTTCTCCCAAGGATACTTTGTGGCAAGTTTGGTTGAAATTGGCCCAGCGGTTCTTGAGAAGAAGTCGAAAATATGAAAAGTTTACAGACAGACAGACAGACAGACGGACAGACAGACAGCTAGACAGACAGACGGACGCCGGACAAAATGTGATCAGAAAAGCTCACTTGAGCTTTCAGCTCAGGTGAGCTAAACAAGAGGCCCATGGGCCACTTCGCTCACCTGAGCACTAAGGGTTGGAAAAAGTAGAAAATGGCTTTTAATTGTAAAGTTTAAATCCAAAAGTAGTCCCATGACCAATCATGGATTTGCTATTTTTTAGAAAATGATTTTTAAAGAATTTTCCTATATATATCTTTAAAAACTTTGGTCGGCCATTTTGGCCCCGCCCTACCCCTGGGGGGTCATGATTTGAACAAATTTGAATCAACACTACCTGAGCATGCTTCCATATAAATATGATCAATTATGGCTTTGTCATTCTTGAGAAGAAGATTTTTAAAGAATTTTCCTATATATTTCTATGTAAAACTTTGGTCGGCCATTTTGGCCCCGCCCTACCCCCGGGGGTCATGATTTGAATAAACTTGAATCTACACTACCTGAGGATGTTTCTCCATAAGTTTCATCTTTCCTGGCACAGTGGTTCTTGAGAAGAAGATTTTTAAAATATACCACCAAATTTTCATTTATTCCCAATTATCTCCCCTTGAATGAGGGCATGGCCCTTCATTTGAACAAACTTGAATCTCCTTCTCCCAAGGATACTTTGTGGCAAGTTTGGTTGAAATTGGCCCAGCGGTTCTTGAGAAGAAGTCGAAAATATGAAAAGTTTACAGACAGACAGACAGACAGACGGACAGACAGACAGCTAGACAGACAGACGGACGCCGGACAAAATGTGATCAGAAAAGCTCACTTGAGCTTTCAGCTCAGGTGAGCTAAACAAGAGGCCCATGGGCCACTTCGCTCACCTGAGCACTAAGGGTTGGAAAAAGTAGAAAATGGCTTTTAATTGTAAAGTTTAAATCCAAAAGTAGTCCCATGACCAATCATGGATTTGCTATTTTTTAGAAAATGATTTTTAAAGAATTTTCCTATATATATCTTTAAAAACTTTGGTCGGCCATTTTGGCCCCGCCCTACCCCTGGGGGGTCATGATTTGAACAAATTTGAATCAACACTACCTGAGCATGCTTCCATATAAATATGATCAATTATGGCTTTGTCATTCTTGAGAAGAAGATTTTTAAAGAATTTTCCTATATATTTCTATGTAAAACTTTGGTCGGCCATTTTGGCCCCGCCCTACCCCCGGGGGTCATGATTTGAATAAACTTGAATCTACACTACCTGAGGATGTTTCTCCATAAGTTTCATCTTTCCTGGCACAGTGGTTCTTGAGAAGAAGATTTTTAAAATATGTCACCAAATTTTCATTTATTCCTAATTATCTCCCCTTGAATGAGGGCATGGCCCTTCATTTGAACAAACTTGAATCTCCTTCTCCCAAGGATACTTTGTGGCAAGTTTGGTTGAAATTGGCCCAGCGGTTCTTGAGAAGAAGTCGAAAATATGAAAAGTTTACAGACAGACAGACGGACAGACTGACAGACGGACAGACAGACAGACAGACGGACGCCGGACAAAATGTGATCAGAAAAGCTCACTTGAGCTTTCAGCTCAGGTGAGCTAAACAAGAGGCCCATGGGCCACTTCGCTCACCTGAGCACTAAGGGTAGGAAAAAGTAGAAAATGGCTTTTAATTGTAAAGTTTAAATCCAAAAGTAGTCCCATGACCAATCATGGATTTGCTATTTTTTAGAAAATGATTTTTAAAGAATTTTCCTATATATATCTTTAAAAACTTTGGTCGGCCATTTTGGTCCCGCCCTACCCCCCGGGTCATGATTTTAACAAATTTGAATCTACACTAGTTGAGCATGCTTCCATATAAATATGATGAATTATGGCTTTGTCATTCTTGAGAAGAAGATTTTTAAAGAATTTTCCTATATATTTCTATGTAAAACTTAGGTCGGCCATTTTGGCCCCGCCCTACCCCCGGGGGGTCATGATTTGAACAAATTTGAATCTACGCTACCTGAGCATGCTTCCACATAAATATGATGAATTATGGCTTTGTCATTCTTGAGAAGAAGATTTTTAAAGAATTTTCCTATATATTTCTATGTAAAACTTTGGTCGGCCATTTTGGCCCCGCCCTACCCCCAGGGGTCATGATTTGAACAAACTTGAATCTACACTACCTGAGCATGCTTCCATATATATATGACGAATTATGGCTTTGTCATTCTTGGGAAGAAGATTTTTAAAGAATTTTCCTATATATTTCTATGTAAAACCTTGGGTGACCATTTTGGCCCCGCCCTACCCCCAGGGGTCATGATTTGAACAAATTTGAATCTACACTACCTGAGCATGCTTCCATATAAATATGATGAGTTATGGCTTTGTCATTCTTGGGAAGATGATTTTTAAAGAATTTTCCAATATATTTGTATGTAAAACTTTGGTCGGCCATTTTGGCCCCGCCCTACCCCCGGGGGTCATGATTTGAATAAACTTGAATCTACACTACCTGAGCATGCTTCCATATAAATATGATGAAGTATGGCTTTGTCATTCTTGAGAAGAAGATTTTTAAAGAATTTCCTATATATTTCTATGTAAAACTTAGGTCGGCTATTTTGGCCCCGCCCTACCCCCGGGGGTCATGATTTGAACAAATTTGAATCTACACTACCTGAGGATGTTTCCCCATAAGTTTCGTTTTTCCTGGCACAGTGGTTCTTGAGAAGAAGATTTTTAAAATATGCCACCAAATTTTCATGAATTCCCAATTATCTCCCCTTGAATGAAGGCGTGGCCCTTCATTTGAACAAACTTGAATCCCCTTCATCCAATGATACTTTGTGGCAAGTTTGGTTGAAATTGGCTTAACGGTTCTTGAGAAGAAGTCGAAAATGTGAAAAGTTTACAGACAGACAGACAGACGGATGCCGGACAAAATGTGATCAGAAAAGCTCACTTGAGCTTTCAGCTCAGGTGAGCTAAAAAGGGCCATGTCTGTTTCAGAATTTCATGAAATTGTTGCATACAAAAGAGAAGAAAAAAACATTTATTCTCAAAAAATCTGAATAAATATTTGCATCTCAAAGTAAATGCAATGAAAAAAAAAAGCTCTTTAACACATAACATGATAAAATTACAGAAGGCTACCACATCAAAGCTGGTTCCATAATGTTCAGGCAAATGATTAAATTTACTGTAATTATGCCTGAGGTGGTATCCACTATGATTGGCCACAGCTGCATGATCACATAAATCTATCATTTCTACTCTATTGGAACCTTCTTATTTTCCAAACAAATTAAACCTACCGTCGACATTAGTGAGGGTGAACATTTGATCTAGATCCACATTTAAGGTTTTTCCGATTAGTTCCACCAGCTCTGGATCATTGACAGGGTACACCGCCACATGGTCTCCTGCCTCATATCTACAATACAGAGACTTAGTCTTAGTTAAAGGGAGGAGGATTTACATGTACTACTGTACTGTGAAATAAAATAGGCTTCTGATTTCATCAAAAATATTTGAGAGTTGTACTTATCAGTCAGCAGGTTATGACTAGTAGATTCTTATATTAGATTATTATTATAAAAAATATCGTTCTCTACGATAGAGGTTCTGAAAATGGGGACTGAGAGTTTAACAATGTTTATATACCGATGACTCTATCATGTAAAACACTGGACTAAATTAATGTATCAAATTACACAAACCTGATCTTTGATCCTGTAATGTCAAACTCAATATGCATACAGGACCTGTCTCCGCCTTTGTGAAGTTCTCGGTTCACACTCACAGGTGCCAAAAACGGGTTCTTAGCATCGTAGGGTCTATAAACAAATATTATATAACATAATACATCACCATTATACTTACATGTACACTTAACAAGGTGCGTCCTTGTTAATACATGTAATTACTTTAAGATTATCATATAAAACAAAACCTACGGTTTTTGGTTTCCAAATGATCCTAATCTGGCAATTTCTCCCTTGTAACATTTCTCTATTGATAGATCATCATGGACAGTGAGGCTATACTGGCGTATACTGAAACCATTATAAAATATTACATACAAATGTAACACATTTTATACAACAATAAAATAAGGCTTTGCCATTACTATCATATGATGTAATAAGGGAACTACATGTTATCAGTCTTCTAGTCCCTAAAGTCAATGACTCCATAAAGATCTTATTGGACTAAAACATGGTACATTATATATTACAATCTGTGAGGTTATTGAACTGTGGTGATACTTGATAATACAGATGAAACCTAACAGACGAATGTAACCCTCTATCACTGACCTGACTTGATCCCCGGTGGGCTGAACACCGAAGTGTTCACACACCGCCGGCCAAAACTTCTCCCTCCAGGTTATAAAATCTTCCTCAATACTGAAAGCAAAAGCAATGGCATACAATATCAATATTCATAGGGTCATACATTCAGAATTTTAAAAGTAAACATGAATATAAAACTACTCTGCGTTGTACAATTGTCAGTAAATTATATATGAGAAAGTTATTTCTAGAAAACTCATAAATATGTACAGAACCCTGTTCAGCAATGTGTTCATGTCAAAATGTCATTCACAATACTGCATCATATAAATATAAGACAAACATCAGTGACTTTGAATTATTTCTGAAGTCTAGTTATTGCCTTACATAAAAATTTAGACAAATGGGCACTGTAACTTTAGAGTACCTGAAGATACTGGGCCCTATAAAGCATTAGGAGAAATGATAAAATTACAGAGACATGATATTTCTTTGTACATACTTGGCATCATCATCTCCCAGTCCTAAGTCATAGATCCTCTCCGCTCCCAGCTCTTCTAATCTTTTGTCTACATAGATTCCCATAGCATTGTAATGTTCATATGTCTTATTTCCTAATCCAAACACCTGAAAGGGCACATGCACTATTTATATATTTTTCCAAACCTAGTACAACTATCTGATCACGTCATTTTCAGCTAATAGATGTTTATATTAAATCTAGTGCCTCAAGTTTAATTTAGATGAGAACAGTCTTTGATATCCAATGCCTTTTCCAAAAATTAATATTAGAAGATTGTAAAGCTTATTTGAACAAATTTTCAATGTAATACATGTACTTACAGCAAATTTGACTCCTGTTAGATCGGATTCCCCATTCTGTAGCCAGTTGTAGAATTCCTGGGCATTGTCTGTGGGGTCTCCCTCTCCATAGGTAGCCATACAAAATATAGCTAGAGAATTCTCTATTTCTGGTAGACTGCTAAGATTGTCCTGTTAAAAAAAAATAGGTAGCCATACAAAATATAGCTAGGGAATTCTCAGGTCCGGAATTCTCTATCTCTGGTAGACTACAAAGATTGTCCTACAAAAGGATGTTTATGAGTAACTAAGAGAAACAGTCTATAAAGCTGCTATTCATAACTTCTTACCGTCCATTTTTGCCTCTTTTTGAGAAGAATTATCGAGAAGGGAAGACCTCAACATGGGTATTACAGTTACTTTTTTTTATTTAAAACGTAAGAAATTTATAAAAATTGTTTACAATTCAAGATTTAGGGCTCTACCATTATAATGAATAATTTTACCATTTCACACTCCTCTGGATCCGCCACCATGCCTTTCATGCCGAATCCCTGGGCATCTTTAGCCAAGCGACCAGCAAATTCTTCTGCTGTGCCAGTTTGTGAACCATAAAACACAATAACATTCCTACCCTGTAAATATTAGTAAACATTTATATGATGAACGGAACACGAAGGTTATTTAGACAGCACAACTCTACAACCAGTTATACAAATATATGCATTATATCAATGCTATTTCTCAGATACCCTTATGCAAAACATATTTACAAAATCTGGAAAAAGTCCCCTCAGCAAACCCTTCAATGACTCTTCCTAAAATTTAACAAGTTCTTAATTGTCCCCAGTATATTTCATTGAAATCTTCTAAATAATATATGTTTTGAAATAAATTACAGAGAAAAAATACAACAATCTTCAACTCTCATATAAGTTTAGGTTATAAAACATTTTTTAATTTAAAAAAAAATTGAATAAACATGGAAAAACACAGTAAAACATATTAAACTTGAAGATTCATAAAAATGTGAATTTGATAAGGAAACATTAAACTGGCCATTCCATGAGTCAGAATTAGTATATGCTTACGGAAGATTTCATTTTGTTGATGAAACTAGGATCATTCATTCTTCCTTGAACTGGTCTACAAGTACATATAAAAAGACTTGATAAGTAATATGGTAGATAATTTAAATTTGATGATGTAATAAATTATGCTAGAAGTCAAAAGTAAATTTTCATCAAATTATTTGTTATTTTATTCCTTAAACATGCTAAACAGACGTGGCTGCCCTTTCTAAGAGGGAACAATAAATTAATTGTAAAAGTGCTCATGTACTTTTATAGTTAATTGATTTTCATGACCTAGCTTGACTGGTATCTGCTCAATAACCAGTTAGAGTGCAAAACATTTCAATTTACGTAAATCATGTCTGTAAAAAAAGTCCTCATACTAATCAAAGTGTTAATGCAGAATTTTATTGATTGGCAAAAAATTCCCAAACAGCAAGCCATGTTTTTATCACATACGATCTTGAACTTTTAGGCATCCTGCAACTCAATCTTTCATTCCTACACAGTGAAAATTTTTTTTTTATGGTCTCTTAATAGAGCCATGTAGAGCATAAAATTAAGGCCCTTCACATTAACAAAGCATCATTAACCTCACCAAAGGATTTCACAGAAGTACAACACTCCTACAACTACCCTAGTTTCGTATTGACAGTGTAACAGAGTGCAACAACTTACTGTACAGTCAGCTTTTTGAAGGTTGGCTGTTCCTGTTTCTTGCTCTTGAAGAAGAACCAGTAAGCGGCCATGCCCGCCAGTACAGACAGAATGAAAAAGTCCAGGACTGAAAACAGCCCCTCCTCTTCCACTGGGACCTCCGAGGCGCCACCGTCAGTACTCATGGCTGGGTTAAAATTGGGTCAATTCACAACACAATCACTGGAATTAAGTGGTTTCCTTTATTTATATGGTACTCCGAAATCACTGATTATTCCTGGAAAGAATGAAAAGATTACAGTTTAGAGGTTGTTATTATCATGAGCATGCAATTTCAAATCAAATAATATTTAATAATGACCATGGTATATGTAAAAGGAATAAACTGAAATAGAAAAATTGCCCCCTCCTTTCCTTTATACATGATTATACACATCAAGGCAGGTTGCCATTGTTTCTTCATTATTATATAACAAAGCCACAGAGTTTACAGGCCCTCTTCTTATACCACAGAGTTTTAATTCACATCCTGTGTATCTATGAGCACCTTTTCTGATTATGGTCGGAGACAACTTATAACAACACTGCATTAATACATACTAAAATAAGCAGTCGGCTCACTGAAAGGCAATAACAATGAACACTTCATCTACTTCCTCACACAACCGATAAATCCCCAAGTAAGAAATTTTATTAAAATATCACATCATTGATTAGCACTAATTCATAAAAACTTGAAAAATTTTCCTAACAAATTACAACATTACATCAAATCGCATTACATCTAAATAGAATAAACTCCCTGGGGTGCAGTTCTTTTGAATGATAATTATGGTACCCTGTTATGTGTTTTCCTGTCAATCCTGTGGATGAATAACAATGGAACACATGCATTTTTTTCCCTGATTCACCCTAGTTAAATTATAACCTAAGGAACATAATAAGTAGCATGAAAATAATGGCTTTTGTCTTTCAGATGTAAATGCGACACATTGGGTAAATTACCTTGTGTGTGCCGAATTTAATGAATAATGATATGTGTAGATAATGTTTATTTTATTTGTCATTTTAGCATTTGTGTTGTTGTATTTAAATGGTTGAAGAATGTACAAAAAAAATGAGGTGATAACTTGTGTGACACAATTGAACATTTAGCCTATGTCAACCTATGTCAAGTTTCAAGTCAATCATATTCGTATTTCATCAATTCACGAGAACAACTTATTCATAAACTGTTAGAGAGGGGGGTTTTGGCTACTAACATGTATAAAAATATTTCAATATACATTACAATGTTTTTGAAATTAATGAAAACATGGAATTTCATTCATGTCAACTTATGCATGTTATATTCAATTCAATTCGTTTACTGACCAATTAAGGGCCCACCCTCTTGGGGCAAAAAGCAAGTACATTGTTAAAATGTATATAATGGTTATATACATACACATGAAATGTAATATATGAAATTCTAATAATAAAAGTAGATCTTTTTTTATATATTAATTTAAGTGAATAGAAAAATGTGGGCCAGTAGAAGTTGTGACATTGGGGGCCCACGTGGCCCCTTAGTTTTTAAATGTTTATTTGCAGCCCTGAATCTATATACTGATGGGATGATGATTGATTAAAAATAAAATTGAAAATTGATTGGTTTACTCTTTTCAATTTAAATTATTGATTACATTTTTTTTTCAATCAGAAAATGCTGTCTATATATAGATCCGAAATAACATCTTTTAGCACCTGAATTACTGGTTTTTAAGTTTTAATTAAATCAAGTTTACCTAAAGACCCACTCACCCTATATACTCGTCTAACAGTGAACAGTTCATTGTGATCACAATTAAACTTCTGACAGGTTGATGAAGCCGATATTAGAAATTGGTTTAGACTAATATGCAGATATTGAAGTACTATTAATTACAGGTGGAATTACGTACCTTAATAATCATAGAAGAATCACAGGTGGAAGAATTAGGCCTAATTTTAAGTCAATTTAAGATCTTCAGGTGATTTTCAACGAGGTCAGAAAATTCGGTTTATATTACAACTTTAATTCAACTTACCCTTAGAGCTTCTCTTTTATCACAACTATTTTCCTTGATCATGCAATTATTACAAATGTTTGCATTAGCTGAGGTGCTAAGGTCAAAGTTCAATTTCTGGTACAGTGCTACGTGCAAGTTCAGTTAAATGTTTATCTCAGATATTTAACTCAGAGAAAATGCAATTCAGATATTTTTAAACATGATTGGGGGTCATCGACATCAGGACATGCGCTGACCGACAACCACGTAGAAAAATTGCAGTTATACAACAGCACTGACCAAGAACTAGTATATCAGCTGTCTCGTGGAAAAAGGTGGGCTAAATCTACACATGTGAAATGCAACTCAATCAGAACTAAAAGAAATAAAAAGAAATACCTTAATTTTAAGCTTTCCAATCAACTTAAAACTCCTTAAAGTTAAATAAGCATCCCTTTATCATATTCATTGCGACACGATTTCTATTATACAGATTGTGAATGACGTCACCAATAGTTGTGTAAATTCTACTCGGGGAGTAGTCAATAATTATTACTAAGTAAGCATTTTGACAAAATCGGGAGAGTTGGCAAAATTCTGTGATTTTAATGTGTTCTAGTACATTTATGAAATAAATTATCACATATTGAATAATTAAAATCTAGCAGCATAACTTAAAACGGATGAATAATGAATTTATTATTAGGTCCCCACTCGGCATGCATTAACCGGTTAGTTACTGTATTGTTCCTTTAGAATCATTAAAATATTAATATCTAACAAAATTTTAAAAAGCCTCAAAATGCACATCTTAACAAATAATTTTTTTTAAAAGATAAATTAAGAAGACCTATATAGCCCTAACACGCTGATCTAGAGGGCAGCATGGGGGGTCCAGAATTTGCTGAGAGATAAACATATTAAATATATGCATAGTGAAGTCGCATAGGCAGTAAAGTGACTAAAAATACAGTAGAACTTCCTAGATAACGCAACTTCTTGTTAGTTTGAAGGAAATGTCAAACATATGATGTATAAGATTTTTTTTTACTAGGATGGAACACCTCACCCCGGAAAAAAAATCCCTGGATCTTCTCTCATGAATAGGATTATCTCAAGTGATTTTTTTTTAATCTATCAGTTTAATTGCTTACATTTTAAAAATTCGTGATTAGAATCATTTTCCAGGGATTTAGCATTATTTTTAAAGTGGGGAGGAAAAAACCTCAAAGATCCTAATTCATTTTGGTAGAGGGGTGTGTGTGTGTGTGTGTGGGGGGGGGGGGGTTATAAGCGACCTTCTTTCAGTGCCACTTTTTATGTACTACTACATTACGTTATAATGTACATTTTCCTATAGACATTAATCGGCCTTTCAATGATTATTAAATTAAAAAGTTATGATTGGAAAAGTTAGGGACTAGACCTACTTGGCCCCGAGGTCCCAATCTGATTCAAATCAGATCTTTGTTACGCGCCGAAATTCTGATGGTTGCTGAACAGCGACTATCAGAATTTCGGAGCGTAACAAAGATCTGATTTTAATCAGACCCCCCCCCCCCCTTCGATGCTACACTGTAGCTTTCAATAGATCATTAAAACCTGTGTAAGAAAAGAAAAATCAAGTTTAAAAAAAATGCAAAAGATGGCTTTTTTCTGAATTTCATATTCAGCATTATTCACACACTTCTTTTCTCTTTCCAATATTTTCAATTCATCTTTTCTTTTTTTTTCTTTTTGTTCAAAAAGCATAAAAGGTTGTTCTTTACAGGCTTTTCTTACCCCCATATAATTAAACCAATCCAAATCAACTCGGAAATTAAGATCGTGAATGATACATAGTTCTTCAGAAAAAAGCTTCATTTGTTTGATTTGCTATGATACACAGTGAGAGGGGGAGAGGGAAAGGAAGACTGTAATGGATTTATACGTTACATGTAATGATATATTAAGAGAAGACACTGATTATATTTTGTACAATATTCACATCAATTATGATATTTTGAAAGTTTGGGATCAAAACCTTCTAGAAATTGTATCCTGTATTTTACATTTACTTAAGAGAGGTAAAACTAGGAGACTTATTGTTCAAAGAACAATAAGAGGTCTTTCCACCTTCTTAGAATTTCAAATTGTTTTATATCTGACAACTTAAAAATTAAATTCCATGAAAAAGAAACCAAAATCATCTTAAAGCATTTAATAAATGAAAATAAAAAAAAAATGGAATGACTTTGACCTTTGACCTTGATAAAATGTTCAAGGTCAAAGGTCAAGGGTCACAATGCAATTGACCCCATGTTTCTACCATTAATAGTTTTCAAGTTATGAGTCTTAAAAGTATGTACAAAGAAGTTAAAGGGCAATAACTCATATAAGGGGTCATCAGATCCTTTCGAACTTATACAGCTTACTTAGGCCTAAAGACCCTTAAGACATTAGTGAAGGTCTGGTGTCTCTACGGACTACAGTTTCGGAGGAGTAGTGATAACAAGGTTTTTAGCACAAAGGGCAATAACTTTTAAAGGGGTTAATGTTAGGGAACAAAAATAAAATCCTTGAAACAGTTTTAATAGTACATATTATTGATGCATAGACATTCAGTATACGTTAAAAGACAAAAGAGATATAAAAAGAGCTGAATTTCTCATTTTTTGAATGACCTTGACCTTTGACCTTTACATGAATTTTAAGCTCAAAGGTCAATGAATCTTATGCAGTTGGTCCCGTATCTCTACGACTTGTCGTTTTGAAAATTTTTAATTATTTGTAAAATTCAAAAAGTTTAAGGGGCTATAACTCAATGAAGGGGTAACCGAATACTTTCGCAATGAATAGATTCCAGAGTCCCCTTAAGTAGTCGAAGACATTGATGAAAGTTTCATATCTCTACGGTTTATGGTTTCGGAAGAGTAGCGATAACAAGCATTTCTTGCGAAAGGGGCAATAACTTCAAAAGCGGTCATAGTTCATACGCGTTGGGTCAAATTTGTTCATAACTTCTAATGACCTTTAAGATGAACAAAAAGTCTTTTCAATAAATGTCGAAATAAAAAATCAGCGGAAGAAGAATAACTAGGAGACTTATTGTTCAAAGAACAATAAGAGGTCTTTCCACCTTTTGAATTTTAATTTCATTTATAATTTATCTCTTTAAGATTAAATTTCATAAAAAAGAAACCAGGAATGGCTTAAGAGAAGAAAAAAATAAAAATTTAAAATTTTTCAGGTGACCTTGACCTTGGACCTTCAAATCATATTCAAGGTCAAAGGTCAAGGGTCACATTGTAGTTAACCTCATGTCTCTATGACTTATAGTTTTAAAGTTATAAGGTTGAATAGTAAGCACAAAAGCATTAAAGGGCAGTAACTCATTCAAGGAGTCACCAGATCCTATGGCGCTTGAACATAAAAGTTTTGCCTAAGGTCCCATCAGACATTAGAGAAGTTTTCATGTCTTTTCGGTTTACGGTTTTGGAGCAATAGCAAATAAAATGTTTTTTGCACAAGGGGCAATAACTTTTAATAGGGTCAATCTTCAGGGACAAGAATGAAATGTTTGAAACAGTTTTAAGAGTACATATTAATGATGCATAGACATTAAGCATATGTTGAAAGGCAAAAGAGATATAAAAAGAACTAAATTTCTCAGTTTTGGAATGACCTTGACCTTTGACCTTTACATGAATTTTAAGCTCAAAGGTCAATGAATCTTATGCAGTTGGGTGCATGTCTCTATCACTTCTCGTTTTGAAAATTTTTAATTATTTGTAAAATTCAAAAAGTTTCAGGGGCAATAACTCATTGAAGGGGTCACCAAAGACTTTCACAATGAATAGATTCCAGAGTCCTCTCAATTAGTCGAAGACTTTAGTGAAGGTTTCATATTTCTACAGTTTACGGTTTTGAAGTAGTAGCGATAACAAGGTTTTTCGCACAAAGGGCGATAACTTTTAATGGGGTCAATCTTACAGAATACAAATTTATCCTTTAAAATAGTTTTAAGAGTACATATTAATGATGCTAAGACAGTTTGTATATGCTAAGCGACAAAAACGATATAAAAAGAGCTTAATTTCTCAATTTTGGAATGACCTTGACCTTTGACCTTTGCAATAATTTCATGACCAAAGGTCAATGAATCTAATGCAGTTGGTCCCATGTCTCTATCACTTCTCGTTTTGAAAAGTTTTAATTATTTGTAAAATTCAAAAAGTTTCAGGGGCAATAATTCATTGAAGGGTTCACCGAAGACTTTCGCAATGAATAGATTCCAAAGTGCTCTCAATTAGTCGAAGACTTTAGTGAAGGTTTCATATTTCTACGGTTTACGGTTTCGAAGGAGTAGCGATAACAAGGTTTTACATAAAAGGGGCAAGAACTCCGTAAGGGGTCATAGGTCATATACGTTGGGTTGTTTTTTGAAATAACTTTTAATATCCAATATCATGAACTAAAAAGTTTTTCGATAAGTCTTTCGGTTCAAAAGTCCATAGCGGAAAAATAATAATAATAATAATAATAAACAGAAGCATTTCAAGAGGTCTTTCCACAGAAAGGTGGAAAGACCTAATAATAAGAAACAGAAGAAAATCAATAGGTCTTTCCACAGAAAGGTGGAAAGACCTAATTAACAGTATACATGAACAAGATGTGTTTGTGAAACACTATTCGCCCGGTAGCAACAAAGTTCGAAAAAGTTATTCTTAGCATATAAGTCACAGTCAAGGTCACAAGGTCATTGACCTTGGTGTCATTTGAAAGAGCTTAGTTAGTGGACTACGCATACTAAATACGAGGTCTCTATCTCCTATCGTTCAAAGGTTATGGCAAAAGTTTGAAAAAACCTATTTTAAGCGACTAGATCTCAGTCAAGGTCACATGGTCTTTGACCTCGGTGTCACTTGAAAGAAATTAGTGAGGTATGCAAGCTAAATACGAAGTCTCTATCCGCTATCGTTCAAAAGTTATGGCGAAATTTTTTTTTAAAACTATTTTTAGCATATATGTCACAGTCAAAGTCACAAGGTCATTGACCTTGGTGTCATTTGAAAGAGCTTAATTTGTGGAGTTTGAATACCGAATATAAAGTCTCTATCTCTTATGGTTAAAAAGTTATGACGAAAGTTAAAGTTGACAACAGACAGACAAATAACTAAACAGACAAATGGACAGGACAAAAACAACATACGCCCTGGATCTATTGATCCATTCGCATAAAAACTGAATACTCAATGCACTGCTATACTAAATAAATGAAATATCATTAAAAAAAGATAAAGTACAAAAACGCCTTTTATTGATATACATGTATGTAACTAGATCTACATGGAAAAGTACAACCAATGATAATGTTGATTATGTCACCTACCCGTCAATCACATTTATATGCATGTCACTTTTTCTCACGCGCCTTATACGTTATAATGCTGAAAAATACCCGTATAAGGTCATTCTCCAAACTTTACAAAAACCTGCTTGCATAGAACGCCTAAAAATGTACTTTACGGGCAAACTTTATATTTTTGAGATATCATACGCTCTTACATATTTTTTTAAATATTATTATAAGGGGGTAGAGGCTATCATGGCTATCGATCCACCAATCAGGCACATGTGTTAAATTTCAAACTGTTTAACCTTCTGAAGAAATTGTTTTTTCACGTTTGGGAAATGAGTTTTTTTTTTTTTGGTTTGTTGAAATTTTCGTTTGTCAATTTTTTCTATTGATTATTCGTATTTTTTTATGCAATTACTATTATAATAGCTGTACCCCCCCCCCCCTTCTTCAAAAAGAAATCCTAGATCCGCACCTGAATATATGCATAGTATATACCGTATGACCTGCAGGAACATAAATGTCAGATATATGTCTCTGGTTTAATTTATTTTCATTCAGATAATGAGATTTTTCCTTTTGGATTCGTTGTTAAATTATTTAATTTCTACAATTACTCCTCCCCTGACCACTCTCAGCGCCTCCTTTCGGATGTAAGGGAAGTTACTCACCAGGAACGTGAAATAAACATGTCGGCAATCAAAACTCTCAACCCTAAAGCTGAAGTTGCTAGGGCTGCACAAGCTTTAGCCGTAAATATAAGCGCAGCCAAAGGTCTCCAAGATGTTCTTAAATCTAACTTAGGACCAAAGGGTACTTTGAAAATGTAAGTAATTTAAAGAAATCGGAAAACCGAATGTTCCAGAACACGTGGTTTGTTCATGTTTTGATTTGTTTCGACCAGTTACCATTCAGCAGAGACATATAAAACCGTTTTATATGTCTCTGCATTCAGTTAAGGGGGATATCCGGCCACCTTTAGTGCAGTGAGAACAAAATGTAAACATTTCTTCAAATGGCTAAAATACATTATATTTTGATCAAATTTTAAGTCCCTATGATAAAGATACAATAAATATGCATAACTGAATGCATTTTGTGTATATATAATCTATACTTTGGCAGAAAAATGCTTTTGATATGCTCCTTAGAACTGCGCAGCTACAGAATTCAGCAGAGCCTTAAAAAATCCAAAAAAATATGTAAACTGTGCATTAATGTTCTCTCTACAACCATTTGTTGAGAAAATGTGTAAATTTTGCACTTCTAAATGATAATTTCAAGTTCAAAACAAGGTACCGTCGTCTTCAAAAAGAGTGTAAAGAACCATGAAAGTAGTTCATGGATAGCAGCACGTGGTCTATTTTTAGCACAGAATTTTGTTTTCCAGACCTCTTCTTAATATGGAGGGACATAACAATCTTTAAATGTAGAAGAGAATTACAGTTGTAAAATATTTCAAATAATATGAACACTTTTAAAAGAGGAAAGGTGTTATAGTGTGGTTTGAAGTAATTTATTTAGTATTATTATCGCACAGTTGTTAAAAAGTGTACGTATTGATATAAAAAATCTTAAACTCTTTGATTCCAGGTAAGGAAAAATGAGCACCATGAAAGTTAAAAATTAAGAGTTTGTACGTTTGCCACAGATAACTTATATTATCTATCAAAATTTTAATTATCACTAATTAAACACAAAGAAATTAGACACATAAAATCGATATGAATGACCTTGTTTTAGTACGAGGGGTGATCAAAAAGTTCGCGAACTATCTCTATACCTACAAAACCACAATTCAGATTAGAAACACAGCCAAACACAAGTTCTATAAATAGCATATGCTGAAGTTTTGCTCCTTGTTTGTGACGTCACAATCTGAAAACGACGTCATTATGCAGGTACTTGTCAATGGCGGATCCAGAAATTTTGAAAAGGGGGGAGGGCGACCAGTTTCAGGTCAGGGTAGGGGGCCACAGCCACACCAAAAAACGTTGATTTATTAAATATTGTTTAATTTTTGGGACACAAAAGGGGGGCGGGCCCCCTGGGCCCTCTCCCCTCTAAATCTGCCAGTTCTTGTGACGAAAAATGGTTGGCTCAGTGGAACTCTATAATATTTATGGTATATCTTAGAAATGTCTTTGAAATAGCGTATAAGTATTTGTTCACAGTTTATTAAGACAAATGACTTCCTACAATTTCAATCAATGATTGGATAGATCGTTTTAGTGAAGGAAGGCAGATGGTTAAATATGAAACTTGTTATGTTGAAAAGGGGTGTGTTTTTAATTAAGCAATATGCTATCAACGACCTCCAATTTACACTTTGAAAAACACTGGAATATTTCAACAATAATATAACTATCAAATACCTAAGATATCGTTTACTTTTTGATCAACCCTGTTATACTGTGTCAAATAAACATGCATTTAAAATTTTCATTACAGCGGAGCAACATTTGAAATGGAATGAAATCATTCAGAGTGGGTTAGGAGATTTAATGAATAAAATTTTTTTTTTTCTATTTGCCCATATTGTCAAAATTACAATTTTACAAAGTAAAGAAAAAAATCAACATAATAAAATATTTTATACCATCTTTAAAATGACGTTTGGTGGTCCTCCCAACTCAGGGAAAAATTATTAGGTCCGTATTTATAGTTGAGAAAAAAATTCCGCAAAATTTAAACATAATTGTTGATGGAAGAAAAAGAAAAAAATATCGTGTAATGGGATGTAAAAAAATGAGTCGGGCCATTTCTAGGCAGTAGATCGGGAGAGAGGGCAAGCAAATATTTTTATAACAAGTGGTCTTATAAGGCTAGTACATGTTTCATCACATACTTAGTAATGCAAAATTTTTTAATCTTTTGCACTTTATTGAAAAACAAAAATAGGATTTTCGGGGGTGGGGTGGGGGGTGGGGGGGGTTAGCCTCTCACTTTTTTTGCGATGATAGACATAGTATATGCAATGGACCTTTCTTTGCAAACATTGTACTCGCTTCTAAATTTCAAAGAAACAACTCAATATATTTTATCAAGCTTCGTATGTTCAATGAGCGAGAGCTTACAACGTTGTCAACATAATGAGACATGATGCGTTTTTATGTCCAAGCATTACTCCATACAATGTGTGGGTCATTGCAAACAATCTAGCTATTTATGTGAGGTGCCTGAAGGAAGTCCTACAACTGCGTATTTTTTCTATCTAACTTCTAAACAAAATAGACATATGTACCAAATTTTCGAATGTAAGACATGTAATTATAATTTTTTTTTTCATGCCCCGCATATTGTTTAACATTTTCAAATTAAATGCTAAGCATCCTCCTTGCAGTGCCCCATTTGAAAATAACTTCTATCGTCACACAAAATAGACCCGCCGTAAACACATATGTTTAGGACATTTTTATCTTTTTTTCTTGAGTTTTAAAGAAACCAACAAATTATCAAGACTTGTTCCATGAAAAATTAAATATAATCATGGTCATAAACGGATCTATCCACAGCAGATATATGCACATGCCAACCACGTGTTCAGTGGAATAATATTAACGAGGAAACTCGAGCTGTAAACAGAACAGTTTTTCCCGATTTGCTGAAGTGGGGTTAAAATCGCGTTTTTTCAATAATCAGATAATGCGATGCAACAAATAAAAGTAGTAAATAATATAACCTAATGATTATTACTTAGTAATTTCTTGTCTTGATATTATTATGGTCGCATTTATTCTAAAATCAATGTTATTCGAACTCTGTGTGACAGAGGAATGGCGGACGAAATAAACACATGGCCCCAGGAAGACACCCATATGAAAAATCAAATTTTCAAGAATTATGGATAATGACAAGAAAAAAGCGAAACAAATGGTTGTAGCCATATAATCAATGAATCAAACTAACACCATTTTCAATGCATTTATCATCTCGTGAATGCTGTAGCTGCTCAGTTCTAACATGATTAATTTCCTCCTAATTAAAACAAAATAAACTTAATTGTTTACTAATTTTGGTCTCTAACAGTAGGCAATTAGTGTACTGTGAGTAGCACTTTGAGTAACTTTGGGCTAGTTTAGTAGAGTATCAAGCACATTCTTGGTATTTCTTATTTTACACCAGACTAGATCCAATATGGCTTGTACATCCCCCTTAAACAAGACTCATCAAAGAGAAAAATTGAAATTGGCATATGGTCTTTGACAACTGGAAATAAACGTTTGGCACAATAGAAATTCTAAAATACTTTATAATTATGAAAAGAAGTTAATGACACTCTTATGAGTCACTTAACCCCCCCCCCCCCCCTTCCCCCTTCTAGATAAAGTATTCTGTTTTTAAAATGATAATTGTGCCTATTGAATTGAGGTATATTCCTCTTTGTTAATTTCTTGTCCTCAGTTTATAGGACCCAGGTGAAATCACATTTATGTGGCATTTGTGTTACTTGTTATTGTACCTGCAGAGCTGTTGTGCTATGTCTTTTACCATATCAGAGCCTCAGACTAAAATATTAAACCATATCACACAACAGATCTGCAGCTAGCATTTATGTTACACAAATTTAATTTAAAGGAAAATAGCTAGTCTTAATTAAGATTTCTGATGTTTGTTTATACAGGATCAAAAAATATAAAAAAAAATTCAGTACAGAAATCTTGTACTTTGAAGAACATGGAAGAAACTGAAATCTAAATCATTTATACACCCAAATAATTATATTGAATAGGTTGGTGTCTGGATCTGGAGATATCAAACTGACCAAGGATGGAAATGTTCTTCTCCACGAAATGGTTTGTATATTGAATTATATATTAAAAGGTACAGTGCTCCAGGTCCCACTTGCTCTCAGGTTGCTAAATGGGGACCTAAAAATTCTTTTGGTCGCCATTTCAGAATTTCTGGTTAGTTGAGATATGTAAGCAATTGACCAAATGCTTCAATAACAAGATGGGGTCCTAGAAAGTTTACGAAGTATGGATGCCATTCTATCAGGGACATTATGTACCGTAAATCTGGAAATTTCTACGTCGATTTTATTTTGCGAATTCGGGTCAAAATGGTGTTGATTAATTTTTACGTTTCAAAATTTTGCGAATTACCACTGCTTTGTTTACATTTTCTTATTGGTAATTTATTTTTAAGAAAAATATTTTTGCGAATGCAATGAACTCGCAAATTTGCTAAAAATTTATCTACAGCAAAAATTTCCAGATTTACGGTATATCTATCAAACTTTGTGTGTCACTATTACAGCATGCTTTCATAACATTACGTGATCCAAGTCCATACGACGTTTTTTAAAGTGTATTAATTTAAAAGTGTATGACTTCAAACATTTTTTTGATAGAGAATCTTGATAAACATAAATCTTGATCCCGATCTTAAAAATGGAGGTTACCAGCCCATATTTTTTCAGTCACGAAAATGCAAGTTTGTTTTTATTTCTAGTCGCAAAATCAATTTTTTGGTCGCAAATGTTTAATCGCAACTTGGAGCACTGCAATGCATTCATCATAACTTAAGAATAATTCATCAAATTTAAAATTTTAAACCTTTTTATGTTTTATCTAATTAAAGAGATCTTATGTTATTTCAACATTTATGTGTTGTGTGTTTTATGTTCATGCAGTGTTGACAATTGACTTAAATACCTTTCACTTTTCCAAGTAAAAAAGCCAGCATCAGTCTACATTTAACTAATTAGTCCACAGTTAGTCGTATTGATTATTTAATTTTCTTGACCTTGGCTTGATTGAAGTCTGGCAGAGTTATTATTGTCTTATTAAGCCTTTAGAATATTCTTTGCTTGATTGGAGATGCAGATGGATCATCTTTCAGCTGTTCACTGACATGATTTGGAATTTTGTAGCAAATTCAACATCCAACAGCTTCTCTGATTGCACGAGTAGCCACCGCCCAGGATGACATCACAGGGGATGGGACCACCTCTAATGTTCTAATTATAGGAGAACTACTGAAACAGGCCGATTTATACATCTCAGAGGTATGAATTGTACATCTCGGAGGTACGAATTGTATACGTCTCTGAGGTACGAATTGTATATATCTCAGAGGTATGAATTGTACATCTCAGAGGTACGAAGTATATATCTCAGAGGTACAAATTGTATACATCTCAGAGGTATGAACTGTATACATCTCAGAGGTACGAATTATATACATCTCAGAGGTACGAATTATATACATCTCAGAGGTATGAACTGTATACATCTCAGAGGTACGAATTATATACATCTCAGAGGTATGAATTATATACATCTCAGAGGTACGAATTATATACATCTCAGAGGTACGAACATCTCAGAGGTACGAATTATATACATCTCAGAGGTACGAATTATATACATCTCAGAGGTACGAATTAGGCTATCTAAATTTAATTCCCTGGTTCTCAGGCCAATTTTCTCCAAAACAGATGCGGGAGGGCGGCATTTTATTTTTCATTTTATTGGCAATAAAGTAGATGAGGGAGGTATTTTTTTTAATTTTAATTTCCGAATTTTCTTTAACATAAAGATAATTTTTTAAATCACAGATATACTTTCCATTTCTGGTCAAAATTTCTGCTTTATCTATTACTTAACAGCGTGTAAACATCGTAGGTAATGTCCTCGAATGTATTTTCAAACGAAGTAGCCAAAATCTCATTGTAAATGGCTACCGGAAGTGATATTTGAATACTAAACTACGAAACAAATGAGGTCGGAATTTTTTTTTCCGGATTGGTCTCCGCAACACCCACTTTTTATTTTATCAAAAATACAATAAAATCGGCAATGCGGCTACCTCAAAACGGATGCGCGCGGGCCTGAGAACCAAGATTTCAATTTTATATGGCCTTATATACATCTCAGAGGTACGAATTGTATACATCTCAGAGGTACGAATTATATACATCTCAGAGGTACGAATTGTATACATCTCAGAGGTACGAATTATATACATCTCAGAGGTACGAATTATATACATCTCAGAGGTATGAATTATATACATCTCAGAGGTACGAATTATATACATCTCAGAGGTATGAATTATATACATCTCAGAGGTATGAATTATATACATCTCAGAGGTACGAATTATATACATCTCAGAGGTACGAATTGTATACATCTCAGAGGTACGAATTATATACATCTCAGAGGTATGAATTATATACATCTCAGAGGTACGAATTGTATACATCTCAGAGGTATGAATTATATACATCTCAGAGGTACGAATTGTATACATCTCAAAGGTACGAATTGTATACATCTCAGAGATACGAATTGTATACATCTCAGAGGTATAAATTGTAAATCTCTGAGGTGCATGTTTTACGTAAGGGTGTAAAGGCAGTAGAAAAAAAGTTATTTAATCTTTCTTGGAAAATCAAAAGCTTTTCTGTGAATGACACATTCACACATGAAAACTTATACACTGTACCAATAATCAAGCTAGCTACAGAACTGTAGTGTTATGGTTTTATATTTTAGCCAGACAAGCTATAATTTTATTTTTTAAAGAAATTTGCATGTAAATGTTTTAGAGGACTTTAATGTAAAATATACTAAAAGAACATTTTGTAGGAGTTTTTACATAGCATATCTAAACTACAAAAAATAAGAAGTGCTCAAGTGAATTGTATTGACTGTAAAATTGAACAACTTTTATAATGATTTGCAGGGTCTTCATCCACGATTGATCACAGAAGGATTTGACTTGGCCAAAACCAAAGCTTTAGAGGTATCAAAGTTAAATGTTTAGAATGTGTAAATGACTTGTTATTTTACTTGTAGATGTCTTCATATAATGTTTGATATATATGATTGTTTAACATGTGATATTACATATAAATTGTCTCTTCTAATGTCAGGTTTTGGAGGAGTGTAAAATCTCCAAGGAGATTGACAGAGACACATTACTACAAGTGGCCAGGACCTCGCTCCGTACTAAGGTTCACACTGAACTAGCAGATCTGCTGACTGAGGTAGGTCTACACAACAAAGTCTGTACTGGTGTTTTGATATTAATAGAGGTAGATTTTATTGGAATAAATGCACAAAAGTTGATTAATGTTTTGTCAATCATAATCCACTATGATTAGAATATTTACACTGAGAAAAATTAATATACCTAAAGAAATTCGATGTATCTAGTGCTGTAAAAGGAAGGCTTTCTAATATACTTTGATGGTGTATTGTAGGAAGTTGTAGATGCTGTCTTAGCCATCAGAAAAGGAAATGAGCCTATTGATCTGCACATGGTAGAAATCATGGAAATGATGCACAAAACTGACATGGACACCACGTAAGGAAATACGTATATAGTATTTGTAGCAAACCTTTTTAGACAGGTTTGTATCAGCAGTTTGTGCAGTTTCACATTTGAATTGTATCCGGAATAAACGAAATAACATTGTTTCAGTGTTTGAAATAAAGCCTTTGGGTTGTCAGTAGCAGACAACGAAGCAAATAAAAACAAAAATTTGACAAGGGAAAGAGTTATACAGGGCTTTCAAAAAGATTTGAACCAGGTGGTACTTTATCAAAAATAGGAGGTACCACTTGGCGAACGCCGAAGGCGTGAGCCTGCTAGGGGGGTCCGGGGGCATGCCCCCCGGAAAAATTTTGAAATTTAGAAGCCACCAGACAGCATTTCCTGGTTTCTAGACACATAGAAGTATGCTGCTATCAGTGTTATTTTTATGCCATGTTTCAAAGTTTATTTTTGGTCAATACATTACATGTGAAGTTTAGCACTGGATGGGTGGAATTACATAGAAAAAATTAGTTATTTGAGCAGAGTATAAGAATAAGATTTAGGTAAAACTTCAAAGTTCTATGCTATATTTGTTTATATAAATGTGTTCAAAAAAATTTCGCAAGGTTTGAGTTGTAAGTGTTATGTTTTAAATATAAAAAGAATTATTGAGTCACGAAAGGAAATGGAAATTCAAAATTTAAATTTAATAAAAGAGAAGTGAAATTATATTTGCATTAAATTAAATTCATTTCTGTTCTACAGTAAAGTGCAGATTTAAAAAAAAAAATTAGAAGAAGCACTGCATGATGCATAGCATGTACCAATAAATTCAGCATATTTTTCATGCACTGGTACATGTACATATAAAATAATATACATGTGTAAATTAGACAAAGATGACATCAAGACTGGAGACAAAAAAAATTTAGATATGACTCCCTCACTTTACTGGATATGGTTACAATACTGGGAAGAAAGTAAACGTCCGCAAGGTCATTCTCTTGACCACTAGAAAACTGCTGAATCAAAGAATTAAATGTGTGGCAAAAGAAATAGTTTCTATTTTATGTCCTTTTGTTTCATCTGAAAGTTGCAGATATTCAAGACTGCAAGTAATTTATATCGTCAGCTGCGGATTTTGACACTTAAATTTGAAGAGTTGGGGCTATTAAAATGTACAGAGGTGGTCAAAGAACTATCTACTGTTCATGTCCGTCTCTCTATCGGTCAATTGTGTTGAAGACTTTCCGTGGTCTAGTTCCTTGTATCTTAAAATCATTTATGAAACTCGTTACCATGGCTTTAAATTGACACTTTCATTTCTGACACCTGGATTCCTATTTTTTTTTTTTGGCCGTATTTATTTAAAATATATTCCTAGTCATTAGCTTTTGTCAAAATCAGTGACTGTGGCATTTGATATCTAAATCTACTTTCGTTTTCGACAAGATCTATAAGACGCGTTACGCAATTTCTTTTGTTTCATTTATTCAAACGCTTTAATGATCTTCTTGACTAACCAATCAAAAGCATTATTAGATACCATTACGAACTAAAGAATAATACAAAGCTACGGTAACCACAACTTTTGTAAAACATGGTAGGGCCTATCGTATTTTCACGTGATTTTTTTTTTCTCCACTGAATATTTTGGCCAGTACCATGAATGAATCCAACCGGGTAAAAGTACCGGGTATCGGCAGATTTTGAAAGGCCTGGTTATAATAAAGACAATTTTTAAGAGGGCAACTATTTTTTAAGGCTAGAACATCTTTTGCAGAGCTAAGGTCTTTTATTAGCTGCCAGGGAAGTGCATGATGATTTATTGTAGAATTAGCGCAATATGTATATAATTTGAAACAAATTGTATGTCCTAAATAGATTGATGCAAAATTCAATTTTATTCGAACACATTTTGACAACAGGTTGGTGAAGGGTATTGTGATGGATCATGGAGCCCGTCACCCTGACATGAAGAAGAGATCCGAGGATTGTTATATACTTACCTGTAATGTCTCACTGGAGTACGAAAAAACGTGAGTATTTATTGTAACGTCTTGCTGGATTACGAGAAAATATGAGTATTTAATGTAATTTCTCACTGGAGTACGAGAAAACGTGCGTATTCAGTGTAACGTCTCACTGAAGTTTGAAGAGCATTTAATTTGACATTACCACTGGAATACAAAACTGAAGTATTTGTATCTCACTGTAGTACAAAAAAAATAATATTAAAGTATTTAACACAAACTGAAATAGAAGAATACATAACTATTCATGGTGAAGTTTGAGGAGAAATTGTTTTAGCAGTTTTTTGAGGTGCATCGTTTTCGATGTAGCCTCATTGCGATCACCTGGCAATTCTTTCTTATCTAAACTGCGGCGGCAAAGGACTCAACAATATTGATTCTTAACACGTTATTAAAAATAGTGCTAAGGCCATATAAAATTGAAATCTTGGTTCTCATCCGTTTCGAGGTAGCTGCATTGCCGATTTTATTGTATTTTTGATAAAATAAAAAGTTGGTTTTGCGGAGACCAATCCGGGAAAAAAATTTCCGACCTCATATGTTTCGTAGTTTAGTATTCAAATATCACTTCCGGTAGCCATTTACAATGAGATTTTGGCCACTTCGTTTGAAAATACATTTGAGGACATTACCTACGATGTTTACACGCTGTTAAGCAATGGATAAAGCAGAAATTTTGACCAGAAATGGAAAGTATATCTGTGATTAAAAAAATTATCTTTATGTTAAAGAAAATTCGGAAATTAAAATTAAAGAAAATACCTCCCTCATCTACTTTATCAGGTTGGGAACATATCCCCTCTAGCGAGATCATCTCGCTAAAGCGCGATTATCCCTCTGTAGCGGGAGAAAATACATCTCAGAAAACCGAGATTTGTACACAGATTCAAACTGTAATCGTGTTAACTTCTGAAAAAGGAAAATCCGGGAGTATGTTTACCCATTTGATAAATATTTATTGTCTCATCTCAATAAATTTGCTTCAAAATATTGTCACTACTGCTGCAAATCATGGAAATTAGAATAGGTTTATGAACAATAGCGTAGCCTTTCTACGGAGGACCACAGGTGATAATTATCAGTACAACTAAACTTACTTCGGTTATACGTTTATTGTAATTGCATGTTTACCTTATTTATTTTTAATACGCCTGCTTGAAAAGCGGGAGTATATACAGCATGATATAGTGATGGGGTGTCTGTCACTTTGGAATTTCCATAGGGCATGACGATCTCGACACGAAGTCTGTTTGGTGACCTATAAATTCTCAAATCGCCTGATTGACTGATACAAGTCCCACCTTCTTACTTTAAGAAGCGCCCTCATTGGTTCTTTGCTACACTCGTCAGAGTTTCCAGGATCTTCTAACAGATATATTAATTTTTCTGTATATTTTACCCGTGAAAATAATATGTTCAGTGTCAGTTTTAAATTCTCGTTCTACGTAAATTAATCAACCCTAAAAATTATTTTATCCTACACTATTGCACTGTCTCAAACTTTGCATGTTATATTGGAAACGTGATATTTTAGACGGCTAGAGATGGTACATGTAGATGGACGGATAGGGGGGGGGGGGTACTAGAAACAAATACAGTAGGTAGGTTGTGCGACTAGATTTCTTTAGATGTATCATATACCAAGACTCTTATCAGGCATGGTAAAAGCTATCGACATAAGCATTTTTAAATCTTTACCATTTTAATTGAAAATATTATCGGTGATCAATTAAGACTCGATCTTCTAATAAGGAAGCTATTAAAGGTGGCAATAGCATCTCTTATTAACCCAATAAAACAATTACAAGGTATAATAAAATGTAAAATTCGAATAATTCCATGCAATGTTCGTAGATATTCTTTCAAAATAAAGAATGTCTTTACCAGTATTCATCTGCCGCCAAAATACGGCTGAAATTTTGCAGACTCGGCATTTAACAATAACAATCAACACTTTTAGCTTTTTTTTTTTATTTACTTGATTTTTGGGGGCAGATTTTTCAGAAGCCCCCCTTTTTTTTTAAATATTAAAATGCCACCTGGTCTGTGTGCTTTCATGTAGCGTATGTTTTGGAAAGTATCTGATTCCCTATTAAAATTTACACATGTTAACCTATGCAGGATCCCAACATATGTTTCCAACGCAATTAAAGTGTCCTCAAACGAAGAACTGTTTATTGCCACCGGTAAAAACATTAAGAATTTATGTCATTAAAATACGAATACCAAGGGAATATTTCTTGAAATTATAATTAACAACACGTAAGTAGCAGCGATTTCAACAATGCAATTTCGCATTTCTGACTCTCTAATTTCGTATAGTTATGAAATTTAATTCAAGGTAACATGTTTTACACTATCAACAGGCACGTTTCTGTGTTAATGAAAAGATGGTAAGTGGTAACTGAAAACAAGTTCGAAGCTAACCCCCATGCCCCCCTCTACCCGCATGAAATAGGATTTTGAGGTTTGGACAATTGTCAAATTCTCCTCTTTTTGTCAAGTTTTTTTTTTCCAGGTTGAGTTTTTTCTCTTTGAATTAGCCACCCCCTTTTTTCCAATTTGCTTCCGACGCCGTTGAATCATGCTTTCCTGAATTTACAAGTTTACCATGCATCAACATTTGTACTAAGTCAATATCGGTTAGACACAATATAAACCTTTTTTTATGAATCTGTTTTCAATATTCCATTAAATGAATGGTTTACCCATATTCTATACACATCTCAGTTTATACTTTTTTCCACAAACGTTACAACCCAGTTGCGCTTCCGTACTTCTTCGCGTCAACCAAAGATCAAATATTTAAGCAAATATCATGGGTTTCTAAAGAACATTATTTTAAAATTTTGTGCAAGAATGGAAAGCTAAGACCCTAACGAATATAATTTGGATATCTATACATATTTTATATGCTTCAAAAACATATCTGACTATAAATCTCAAGAAACCTTCGCTAAAAAAGCACGATTTACACGTGGATTTCAGCCTCTTATTCTCACACGCAGCAGTGATTGTCTTAAATTTCTGGTCAAAATTTTCAGTTTTTTGTAGTAAATTCACACTTCAATACAGCTTTCTCCCGGATTTTCAATAAGCACGAGATTTTTGATTATTTTATAACGAAAACAACAAAATTCCCGTTTATGGTAATGTTTTTTCTCCCGCTAAAGAGGGATAATCGCGCTTTAGCGAGATGATCTCGCTAGAGGGGATATGTTCCCAACCTGTTTATTGCCAATAAAATGAAAAATAAATTGCCGCCCTCCCGCATCTGTTTTGGAGAAAATTGGCCTGAGAACCAGGGAATTAAATTTAGATAGCCTAATGTACATTGACAAGTTGGCGATATCCATTGTTAATTTTAAACAGCTAATAACATAAAATCTCACACATACATGTTTTTACTTTGAATCAACAGAGGTTACAAAAAATGAGAAAATAAACAATTAAAACAAAGAGAGAAAACAACAACAAACGTGCCCTATGCGGAGTAAGATCTATTTGCATAACAACAGCTCGTACGATAAATTACTCGGTTTTGTATCGGGTTCATAATAAACCGTATACCACGCCCGATTGTTTATTTTAGTCCAATATAATTTACATGAACATTTCATGTATATAACATTTGTTATATATTGTGCCATTTATATTGGGAAAAAGTTAAAAACAAAGTAGGGATATTTATAAAAGTGCACATAATGAAAGAAACTGAAATAATTCAGATATGAAATTATATCAATTTATTCAATAATCATTACTAGTAATTTCTATATTGACATTCATTATTTCATCTTCCTAATAGTAAAAGAATAAAAATAAAAAAAGAATTAAAATACAATTAAAATCAATTATGATTTAATTTGAATATCAATATATCAGACTATCTTTTTTAAAAAAAAAAGTTTTTCCTCTCCTGCACATGATCGATTGGCTAAAACTCAGAGCCATGGCTCAATTTTTTTAACCTCAAAGAAACGTTAGTTATTTTTTAAATTCTTATTCCTGGATTCTTTCATTCCCTTAACATTGATGCTGAATTTCTCTAAGAAAAAAGAAGTTTTATACCCTCAATGCGATGCACCTCTCAGGCCGTCAGGCCTTTGATTTCATTATTATAATGTAAGAATATATAATTATTCATCTTTAATATTCAATGAAAATGAAAGTGAAATGGTTCTGTCCTTTGTAGTGAAGTCAATGCTGGATTCTTCTACAAAAGTGCTGACGAGAGGGAGAAGTTGGTGAAGGCAGAGAGAGAATTCATTGACGAGCGAGTGAAGAAGATCATCGCTTTGAAGAAGCAGGTCTGTGATGGAACCGACAAGAGCTTCTACGTCATCAACCAGAAGGTAGGATGTCTGATATATATAGTGTAGGGTGAAAATAAGTTAACACTGTCTACTTTATTAATTAAGCAGTCTGAGAGAATGTGAAAGAGCTTGTGTATCAATGTATTTAAAAAACAGTGGGGATGTTTTTTATAGAATCAGAACTTGGTCATATCTGTAGAAACTCTATTGTTTCCCATAATTCCAGGGCATAGATCCCATGTCTCTTGATATGCTGGCAAAGGAAGGCATTGTTGGACTGAGAAGAGCAAAGAGGAGAAATATGGAGAGGTAAATCAAGTTATCTATAAAGCAGCAGATTTTCATGATAAGGGATAATAAGGGATGTAAAGAATCCTACTTATGCTTATTTGCCTTACCTTCATAAGAAGCAAACACTTATGGTAGATGTAGCTGCATAGTGTAGATGAATCTGTTTTTGTGGAAGCTGAGTTCATTTAAGGCCAAAAAAAATTAATAAATTGTTTCTCAGGCCAAAAATTTTTTTAATTTAATGCGGCAGGCAGGCTTTTTTTTTTTTTTTTTTTTTTTTTTTAAGCAGGTTTTACACTTTTTTAAGCCATTTGTTCAATTACATGATAATATCTACTAATTCTTAATTTCTGTTCTCTGAAATTAGTTATAATATGTATTCATTTTTAAATAATGTTATTCCAAACATTAATTTAAAAGTTATTTAATAAAATACAGTAAATTTAGAAGATGTATATTGTTTTTCTAATAAAAACGTCTATCTTTGCATTTATGAAAAGGGGAATAACTCGATTTACTTTTTCAACTTGGAAAAATAGAAAATTGAGTTATTTCCCTTTTCAATATGTCAATAAAATTTATCAATGCGGCCGTTTTTGAACTGATGCGGCGGTGCCTGAGAAACTATTGATTAATTTTTTTTTTTGCCCAATCTCTGTTAAATCTCAAATCATACATTTCTGTGAAAAAGTTTTCAAATGTCCTTACTTTTACTCCCATTTTTTTTTCAACATTAAGACTGACCTTGGCCTGTGGAGGAATAGCCATGAACTCTGTGGATGACCTCACTCCTGACTGTTTGGGCTATGCTGGACTGATCTACGAACATGTTCTGGTGAGAACTTTATATGATGCTTAGGAACTGCTGTATTGTGGTCTTTGGTATTATCAAAATAGTAGTGACAAGCAACAACAAGAGGCCCATGGGCCACATCGCTCACCTGAGCACTAAAAGTAGGAAAAGTAGAAAATGGTTTTTTATTGTAAAGTTTAAATCAAGTAGTCCCAAGACCAATCATGGATTTGCTATTTTTTTTAGAAAATGATTTTTAAAGAATTTTCCTATATATATCTTTAAAAACTTTGGTCGGCCATTTTGGCCCCGCCCTACCCCTGGGGGGTCATGATTTGAAAAACTTTGAATCTACACTACCTGAGCATGCTTCCATATAAATATGATGAATTATGGCTTTATCATTCTTGAGAAGAAGATTTTTAAAGAATTTTCCTATATATCAGTCCAGTACATTACGAAAAACTGTAATTATATTACAGTTTTCCATAATATAAGATTTTATATTACAATTTTTCGTAATATAACTATATTATGAAAAATTGTAATATTATGGAAAACTGTGATATAGTTAATGTTGTGAAAATCTTAAATTAAAGCAAACAAATGCTTTTATTATGATATATTTTTGTTCCAAACTTCTGGTTTAATTGTTTTCATGGTGCAGGGTAAGAAATAGTCCAAAATTTATTGCAACTTTTTGACTTTCTTTGACATAGTGCCCACTTTGGATGTCAATATCTCCCAGAGAGTAATTTTTGTGGGATTGGCAGTAATTTTCTTATATAGTTTAAAGTTGACCCAGTGACCTGATACTGGTTTTATGTCTCCGTCCTTCCCAGTTTAGCTCCGACCATCATGGTTCTTTCATACTGTAACTAATGCATTAATGATTATCCAGCTGTTAATCTTGTGTAAGACCAATCTAAATGCTTAAATGAGACACATGATATTCCTTAGCTATCTACTCTACTTCTTATTCATTTAGTAAGTGGTAGTAGTGACCCTGCTGTGAGCTAGATGCAGATTTAATCAAGCATAGATTTATTTTTACAATGGGGAGATAACTCTTACTTTACACTATATTATGGAAAATTGTAATATTACAATTTTTCGTAATGTACTGGACTGTATATTTCTATGTAAAACTTTGGTCGGCCATTTTGGCCCCGCCTACCCCCAGGGGTCATGATTTGAACAAACTTGAATCTATACTACCTGAGCATGCTTCTATATAAATATGATGAATTATGGCTTTGTCATTCTTGAGAAGAGGATTTTTTAATAATTTTCCTATATATTTCTATGTAAAACTTTGGTCTGCCATTTTTGCCCCGCCCTACCCCGGGGGGTCATGATTTGAACAAACCTGAATCTACACTACCTGAGCATGCTTCCATATAAATATGATGAATTATGGCTTTGTCATTCTTGAGAAGAGGATTTTTAAAGAATTTTCCTATATATTTCTATGTAAAACTTTGGTCGGCCATCCTCGCCCTACCCCCGGGGGTCATGATTTGAACAAACCTGAATCTACACTACCTGAGCATGCTTCCATATAAATATGATGAATTATGGCTTTGTCATTCTTAAGAAGAAGATTTTTAAAGAATTTTCCTATATATTTCTATGTAAAACTTTGGTCGGCCATTTTGGCCCCACCCTATCCCCGGGGGTCATGATTTGAACAAACTTGAATCTACACTACCTGAGCATGCTTCCATATAAATATGATGAATTATGGCTTTGACATTCTTGAGAAGAAGATTTTAAAAGAATTTTCCTATATATTTCTATGTAAAACTTTGGTCGGCCATTTTGGCCCCGCCCTACCCCCGGGGGTCATGATTTGAACAAACTTGAATCTACACTACCTGAGCATGCTTCCATATAAATATGATGAATTACAGCTTTGTCATTCTTGAGAAGAAGATTTTAAAAGAATTTTCCTATATATTTCTATGTAAAACTTTGGTCGGCCATTTTGGCCCCGCCCTACCCCCGGGGGTCATGATTTGAACAAACCTGAATCTACACTACCTGAGCATGCTTCCATATAAATATGATGAATCATGGCTTTGTCATTCTTGAGAAGAGGATTTTTTAATAATTTTCCTATATATTTCTATGTAAAACTTTGGTCGGCCATTTTGGCCCCGCCCTACCCCCGGGGGTCATGATTTGAACAAACTTGAATCTACACTACCTGAGCATGCTTCCATATAGATATGATGAATTATGGCTTTGTCATTCTTGAAAAGAAGATTTTTAAAGAATTTATCCTATATATTCCTATGAAAAACATGATCGGCCATTTTGGCCCCGCCCTACCCCCGGGGTCACGATTTGAACAAATTTGAATCTTCGCTACCTGAGAATGATTCCATATAAATATGATGAATTATGGCTTTGACATTCTTGAGAAGAAGATTTTAAAAGAATTTTCCTATATATTTCTATGTAAAACTTTGGTCGGCCATTTTGGCCCCGCCCTACCCCTGGGGGTCATGATTTGAACAAACTTGAATCTACACTACCTGAGGATGTTTTCCCATAAGTTTCATCTTTCCTGGCACAGTGGTTCTTGAGAAGAAGATTTTTAAAATATGCCACCAAATTTTCATTAATTCCCAATTATCTCCCCTTGAATGAGGGCGTGGCCCTTCATTTGAACAAACCTGAATCCCCTTCACCCAAGGATACTTTGTGAAATTTTGGTTGAAATTGGCCCAGCGGTTCTTGAGAAGAAGTCGAAAATGTGAAAAGTTTACAGACAGACGGACAGACAGACGGATGCCGGACAAAATGTGATTAGAAAAGCTCACTTGAGCTTTCAGCTTAGGTGAGCTAAAAATGGTTCTATCATTTAATTTTTGTTGGCATAGGGAGAAGACAAGTATACCTTTATAGAGCAGTGTAAGAACCCCCTGTCTGTCACTCTGTTGGTGAAGGGCCCCAACAAGCACACCTTGACCCAGATCAAGGATGCCATTAGGGATGGGCTCAGAGCTGTCAAAAATGCTATCGAAGATAGTAAGTAATGTTAGATCCACCCCTGTACATATTTACTGTAAACCAGCTATTATTCACGTCATCTTTTATTCGCAATTCGTCAATTTCGAAATCACTCCGTGATGATTAATTTTCGCGATTGAGGAAACATTCTCTACAAGCACTTAAGGAAAATGAATGGTTTGCAGTGATTACTTGTATTATTTGCGAGTTAGAGTCGAGGAACTCGCAGATATTTCTTGCACATTAATAAAAGTTGGTTTACAGTACATGTAAGTCCAGTCATTTCAGAATTTAGTGTAATCCTATTTATGGATTATCTATATCAGATTATTATATTGCTTCATATTTTATTTGTAAATGTTTACATTTTCGAAGTGTGTTTACATTATAGGCTGTGTACTGCCTGGGGCTGGAGCCTTTGAAATAGCAGCATACCAGGAACTGATGAAGTACAAGAATGAGGTCAAGGGCAGAGCTAGGCTAGGTAAGGGCAGATTATTATCATAATTCTTAGCTCTCGCAGAAGATTTTCAGTTAAAAATGCAATTTTATGCTTAATTGTGGCGTTCAGATGGGTTTGATCGCTGGTGCTGGGTGGCCAGATACACCACTTGATAGAGCACTTGCCTGTAGTGATTCAGGGGTCCTGGGTGTGGTGTCTTACTCTTCGGTCCATTCCAATTTTCTTCCACCCTGTTAAATAATTATAATGATAAAATCTGGATATTGATTCAGAGATTGTATGCCATCTGATGTGATGTATATCAGACTCAGTGTTTTTCCTTACTCTTTTAAGGTGTTCAGGCCTATGCTGATGCCCTCTTAGTCATCATTAAAACCCTGGCCCAGAACTCCGGTCTCGACCCTCAGGAATCTATTGTCAAACTCCAGGAGGAATACACAGGACCTAAACAAGCTGTAGGATTAGATATTAAAACAGGTAAGATACATTCAATTAACTTGAGTTCTTTTTAGCATTTATCTGTGATAATAAAATTCAGAGAAGAGAAACATATAAAAAAGACAAACAAACAAAATTAATCACAGTATCTCTGACATTGTTATTTTATGTACTAGTATCTTTGAATGATAATGAAAGCAGAAAATAATTCTATTCATCATTATGATAAAATTTTTATACCAGTAGTTTTCCTGCAAAATGTAGTCAAATTTTGATATTTGTTTTTGTATCAGGAGAAGCAATTCTCCCACTGGATGCGGGAATTTTAGATAATTATAGAGTCAAGAAACAGTTACTCCACTCTTGGTAAGTATGAAAAGAGCTGCAATAAGAACTGCAAATTCTTCAGAAGTTTAGGCCATGCAAAGTTAATTGGTTCTCAGGCCTTTTTTCAAGAAATATGAAGAGGAGGGAGGCATTTTTTTTCTCCCTTTTTTATTGCTCCAGAACATGATGAGGCAGCTTTTTACGTTGTACAAAACCTCAAAAAATGATGAGGGAGGTGATTTGTTGTTTTTATTTTATTGATTTAGCAATAGAAAGAGTCAATGAGGCACTCTTGGAAGAGATGAGGGAGGGCCTGAGAACGAAGAAATTAATTTTTTTATGGCCTTAGAATAAGTCTGTATTAGAAACGAAAAGAACATTTTTTGACTAGAAATTGATGTTTACTTTCATAATATACATATACATGTTTTATTTCAATGACTTTTTATTTTACAGTACTGTAATAGCGACAAATCTTCTACTAGTGGACGAAATGATGAGGGCGGGAATGACGTCATTAAAAGGATAGCAGTGAACATTTTACATAGAAAACATTGATTTATCAGACTGAAATCCTGTGAAACTGAACAAATATCCCCTTTGTCATTAAATGTTTGATCAAATTCTGTCTTGCTTTTATCTGTTCTCTGGTTATTTTAGAAGGAAACTTAAAATTATGCCATCTATACCGAAAGTGATAATTGAAATTAATAAAGAGACATGAATGCTGCTGATGAATGTGAAAATTTCAAGAGAAGTGGGTATTTTGATATTGTAAATGGTGGAATCTAAAATATATATATTCCATCGAAGTAATAAATCATCCACTTACCTGTAATATGAAAAAGAAATCGTACTTTCTAAAGTTAATTGTAATGCTTGACTTGGTGAATGGAACAGAAAGTTACAGTATAACGTTTCTATGTTAGGGAAATTAACTTGACAAATTGAAGTCATGCTTATCTTAAAGCTTTGTTAGGTGACCACTAAAGTCTAAGTCTTTCTAGCTAAATATCCAAATATGAAACAGATGCGTCAGATTCTGTGATATCTTATTTCAAGCTCAAATAACTGTGATATATCAACTTGACATATGAAAGGTAGTAACTATTGTTAATTGATGATACATCCTCATCGATATATATACATGTCAAGAAGAAGGCAACAGCAAGTGTTTTTGTCTCATATAGGAATATCGGAGTAAATTTTGCTTCATGTGAATACAGAAATAGGTCTGCTATAGAGGGGGTGCACTTGGTACCCATGGGAATTCCAAGAGATTGTTGGAATATCTGACTTATATTTTAGAGTCCATCAACGTCACCATATCAAATACAGCTAACATTTAAATCTTCATTTACCACTTGATATGACAGGAAAAGACTCTTACTATAACTCTATAAATGCCACAATGGACATGCATAAATGTTGCTTATAGGGATGCTTATGCCTGGACTCGGAAGCTTTATAGTGAGTGATTTTTCCTTAATATTGAAAGATTGCATTCATGGTAATCTTTGATTACCCATGTTTTACTTGTATTGCTCATTTGGAAGGGTAAGGCCTCATTTAGCAAAAATATGATGTTTTTGGTTGGTCTTTTCTACAGGTGGACGTACATTTGTCACCTACAGATAATAAAATGCCTTACTTATCCCCTATCCCTTGTCCCAAAACACAAACATCCCATCGGCGTTACTTCCTTCAAGTGTCAATGAAAAAAAAATGACAAAAGTATCCCAATTATTCGTACATATTTGAGTCACTGATATTATTCCGGATTTCATAATGCTAACCGGACGATTTTTGCTTTTAAATATTCTTCGCTTCCGGGAAGGAAAAAAATGGCGACATAAATTTTCTTGAAAAATAATGTCAGGACGCCCTCCAAATGAAAGGTATAGAAACCTGATTAAAAACTATGCGCGTAAATAATTGCATTGTGAATATCAAATTTTAAGAA